TTGACTTAACCATGTCACTGAACTTCTTAAACTTTTTCACCTAAAGCAAAGGAAAAAGACCATGTTGAACGTGAACATTTCAAGGACTGGTGTGGGTGGGTGGGGGGCAACTCGTGGGGTCTGCAGTACCAGCTCACAAACTCCTCTCTGAGTGTCTATTTTATATCTTTAAGGAAAACAGAATTTGGTGGTAGAGAAAAAAATTCACATGGATTTCTACATTTTAGTTGATTTTAATCTTGATTTGTAAGGTTAAAAATATTTTTAAATGTATCTTTTATGTTATATTTTAAGTAACATTTTATATGTCCATATATGTATATAATTTTTATATATGTTTATGTAAATGTTTTGTTTATATATATTCTATATAAACATATAAACAAACATAAACATATTACACAAATTTATATATATTTTAATACAATGATATATATGATATATATTATGCATAAAAATATATACATATATAAACATATATGAAATATTGTATATGTAAAAATATTGTATAATATATATGTTTCTGTATTTATGTTTTTTGTAATACTTTTTAAAAAAAAAACCACGGTGAACTATTCTCAAAGAAAAAAGAAACCCCAACTTTCAGCTCAATTAACCAAGGTAAAAAGAGAGGACCCAAATCCATAAAATATAAATGAAAGAGAAAACATTACAATGCCTCTCCCTAAGAGCACAGAAATGCTAAGGAGCAAAAGAAATCACTATGAACAACTATATACACAACAAAGAGGACAACCTAGAAAAAAATGGGCTTTTTTTAACTAAGAAAAATTCTTAGTAACATACAACCTATCAATTCTGAATCAAGAAGAAATTAAAGATCTGAAGAGACCAATTACTAGTAAGGAATTTGAGTCAGTAATCAAAACTCTCCCAGCAAAAAAAAGCCCAGAACAGATAGTTTCACTGGTGAATTTTACCGAAATTTTACACTTGATCTTAGCCAAAAGGCTGAGAAGCGATTTTACCAAACTTTTAAAAAGAATAAACATTAATCCTTCTCAAAATCTTCCAAAAAATCAAAGAGGAGGGGAAATCCCCAAACTCATTTTATGAGGTTAGCATTACCCTGATTCCAAAGCCAGAAAAAGACATGAAAAGAAAAGGAATCATCAGGCCAACATCCCTGATGAATACAGATGCAAAAATTCTCAATAAAATACTAGCAAACCAAATTCAGCAATACATTAAAAGGAACATTTACTCAAGTGGGATATATCCCTGGGGTGCATAGATGGTTCAACATATGCAAGTCAATAAGTGTGATACATCACATTGATAGAATTGAGAGAAAAAATCATATCATCTCAAGAGACACAGAAAAGGCATCTGACAAAATTCAACATCTATTCATGATTAAAAACTCCTAACAAATTAAGTATAGAAGGAACATACCTTAACAAAGGCCATACATAATGAGTCCACAGCTAACATCATACTCAGTGATGAAATACTAAAAGCTTTTCTTCTAAGATCGGGAACAAGACATGGGTCCCCACTCTCATCACTCCTATTCAACAAAGCTCTGAAGTCCTAGCCAGAGCAATCAGGCAACAAAAAGACATAAAAGACATCAAAATTGGAAAGGAAGAAGTAAAATTGCCTATTTGAAGATGATATGATGTTATATATAGAAAATCATAAAAACTTCACCAAGAAACTCTCAGATCTAATCAATGAATTCAGTGAAATTGCAGGGTACCAAATTACCATATAGTAGCATTTCTATATACTGACAACGAATTATCTGGAAAAAAATCAATACCATTTACAAGAGCATCAAAAAACAGTAAAATACTTAGGAATGAATTCAACCAAGGAGGTGAAAAATATCTGTACTGAAAACCACAAGAAATCTGATTTTTTTGATATAATACCTAAATTATATCCTATGATATAATATCTATATTATAAATGATTTTTTAGATATAATATCTAAAGCACCAGGAATAAAATAAACAAGTAGGACTGCATTAATAAAAAGACAACAAGACATTGATGAAAGAAATTAAAGACAACACATATAAGTAAAAAGGAATCCTGTATTCATGAATGGAAAAATTAATATTGTTAAAATGTCTGTGCTACCTGAAGCCATCTATAGATTCAATGCATTCCCTATTAAAATTCTGATGGGATTTTTTACAGAAGTAGAACAAAAAAAATCATAATATCTATATGGCACCACCAAAGACCCCCAAATAGGCAAAGCAACCCTGGGAAAGAAGAACAAAGCAGGAAGTATCATATGTCCTTCTTTCAAGCTATACTACAAAGTTATACTAATTAAAACAGTATGGTACTTGGAGAGAAACAGACACATAGACCAATGGAATAGAATCAAGGGCCCAGAAATAAACCCATACAAATACCATCAACTAATATTTGACATGGGAGCCAAGAATACTCAATGGAGAAAAGACAGTCTCTTCAATAAATGGTGCTGGGAAAATTGGACATTCCCCTGTAAAAAGAAAAATGAAAATAGACCCTTATATCCTGCAAAAATTAACTCCCTAAAATTAATTCAAAATGGATTAAAGAGTTAAATATAACACCAGAAACCGTAAAACTCCTAGAAGAAACGGTAGGAACAAAGCCCCTTGACAATGGCCTTGGCAATGATTTTTTGGATATAATACCTAAAGCACCAGGACAAAATAAACAAGTAGGAATTCACCAGTAAAAAGACAACTTATTAAATGGGAAAAATATTTGCAAATCATATATTTCATAAGGTGTTATTATCCAAAAACATATAAAACTCATAGAACTCAAAAGCAACAAGCAAACAAACCAAAAAAACAAACAAGCAAAAACACCAAATAATCCAATTGAAAAAAGGGAAAAGGACGTGAATAGATATTTTTCCAAAGAAAATATATGAAGGCCTACAGGTACCCAAAAAGGTGCTCAACATTACTAAACATCAGGAAAATGCACATCGAAACCACACACACCTGATAGAATAGCCATCATCAAAAAGACAAGAAATACCAAGTTTTGTCCAGAATGTGGAGAAAAGGCAACCCTTAAACGCTGTTGGTGGAACTGTAAATTGGTGCAGCCACTATGGAAAACAGTATGGAACTTCCCTCAAAAATTAAAACCAGAACTACCCTATAACCCAGAAATACCACTTCTGGGGCTATATTGGAAGGAAACATGAATACTGTGTTGAAGACATACCTGCACTCCTGTGTTCACTGTGGCATTATTTACAATAGCCGAGACATGGAGATATGGATGGGTGGTTGAATAAAGGTGTGGTATGCTCACGCACACACATACACACACATGAGTATCAATTCATTCTTTAAAGAGAAGGAAATCTTGCTATTTTCAACAACATGGATGGACCTGGAGGGTGTCATGCTGAAGGAAATAAGTCAGATAGAATGACAAATACTGTGCAATCTCAGTTGTATGTGGAATCAACCCGACCAACCAACTCATAGGAAAAGAGATCACATTTTGGGAAGCAGACACGGGGGACGGGGTTTGGGTAATTGGGTGAAGGATGTCAGAAGGTACAAACTTTCAGTTACAAGATAAGTAAACTCCAGGCGTGTTATGTACAACATGACAGCTGCACCTCACACTGGGGTATGATCTAGAGGAAGGTGTGAATTATTGTAAACCTTAAGAGTCCTCATCAAATGGAGAAACCATTTTTTCTTTTTTCTTTGTTAACCAACAGGACAGTAGATGTTAACTGAACTTGTAATTCACAATATATGAAAATCAAGTCATTATGCCATACACCTTAAACTTATACTGGGCTGGGCACCGATTGTATCTCAATAAAACCAGGGGAAAAACAACACTTCTTATAAAGATGTTTCTTGGGACACTATATAAGCTACATATATTTATTTTCTTGGGACACATACATAAGCTACATATATTTATTTATATAAAATATAAATTTTTAAATAAAAATCTTGGGGTAAAACTGCTGTTGAGAAGCTCTATCAGATTGTATTTACCCCATAGTTTCATGTCCCCCATGACTGACACTAGAAACCCTCAGGGTTACAAATACCCCATTTTGAGAACAAGAGTAAGTATAGCAGAGTGTCCTTTCTCCCCTTTGTCTTGCTCCCCTCCCCACTCCTCTGAAATGTCTTCTCCTTTTCACTTGCCTCTTCTATCACCTAAACATTCACTCAGGAAAGAAAATTCTCCAGTACTTGAAGACTTACTATTTCTTAATTCTTAGATTTAAAAAAAAAATGAATGAATAAATATCTTTTCATTGGGGAATATTTTTTTTTCTTCAGAAGTCATTTGGAAATATTTTATTGTAGGCTTGTAAAACATTTGATCTGGGTGGGACTCTGTCCTGGGCTTGATGATTATCACCATTTTGAGGGTAAATTTCCTCATTAGGATGGAAAAGTCTTCAAAAGATGTTAAAAGCTGGATAATACTGTCAAAGCAAATGTTTTGCTTGTCTGTGAAAAAGTCACAAAGATTTTGCTCACTGTGCCTGAGGTACAATTAATCAACCCCAGCACAGTTGTTGAAGGGAACATTCACCCAGAACTATGTTTCCAGACTGTTCATTAAATCTAAGTAGAACCTCCAAACATTTTATAGGAGGGCCAGGAGATGACTGGCAAGTAAGCAACCAGCTCAGTAAACCCTCATCCCCACCCACCTCGAAGCCATTGTTTCTTCATGGGCTGAGAGGCTGAGAGACATCAAGCTAATAAGCCATAACCCACATCTTCCTTGCTGCGGGGAACAGAGTTGCCATGTTTTATCCTCTGGCGGTTTCTTCCGTATTTACATCCCTATTACTCTGATTGGGGTCTCCTGCCACACATTTTCAGATAGTGTCCTTTTGGAAGATACCCTGGTGCTTCTGAGATTTGAGCCAGTGAACAGACAGGGGCTTCCTGGCTGTTTGAGGCTCCCCCCAGTCCGCTAACTGCATCTCTTTCTCTCTCCCCCACTCCCACCTGCTCCCCCAGAAGACGTGCCTTCTTCAAGAGCATCTGGAGTCTGTCCAGAAGGAGTTCATCATTTTCAACAGAGAAAAGTAAGTAAGCCTTGGTTCAACAGCAGCCCAGAGGATGATGGATGCTTCAGCCAGATTACCTGCAGAGCCTTAGCTGATTTTTTTTTTTAACATTTTCTAACTTTTTCTCACATCAAAAATGATACATATCCGTAATAGAAAGATTGGAAAATTCAGAAGCCTTTTCCCCCCTGTATGAGATTTCAAAAACAGCAATAGGTAAGTTAGCTTAGCATCAAGTTTCGGTCTCAGGGAAGGACAGAGGAATGGGACCAAAACACTTAAAATTGGTGACAAGTTTAAGATGGTTTCCTTGTGTCATGCTGCTTTATAAATTGTGGGGCCTAATTCTGTCATTTCAAAGCTTAAATCACTTCTTTTTCTTTTCAATGATAAGTCCTGGTTGTTTTTCTTTTTCCTTTTCTCTTTTAAGAGTAAAAAGGGACTTTAATAGAAGACCGGCTAATCTAGCCTTGGAACAAACCAAAGACCCCCAAGAGGAGAATGGTCAGAATAAGAAGTGAAGTCCTCCGCATCTTCTGCTTGGGACCTTTCCTGACACCTCAGGCCAGGAATTGCTGACAGTAGTTCTCACCTCTCCACACCTCACACACCTTAGGAAATGTGTACGAACGCCTTTGGGAGGAGGCAGCATGACAGAGACAGAGAGTTCTGGGTCTCCTGGGACCTCGTTTCACCACGAATTAACTATGTTGCCTTGAGCAAGTCACTTCCTCTATGGTCTTTGCTTTGGGTCATTCACCTAAATGAGAGGGTTATACAAGAGGAGCTCTGTTCTCCCTTTCTACTGTTACCATTCTGTTTTTCCACACAGCCTTTATCTTTATTTTAAAAGGAATATTTAGATGTAGATTTATTTTTCCACTCATTCTAACTACACTGTGACAAATGGGCAAATGGACACTGATGGGTGGCTGGTGACTGTGTGAGGTTCTTCAGAGCTAGAAAATTTCTTAGAGGGGTCAGAGAGCCCCCATCTGACTGAGGAGAGAGAAGGAATTCAATCAAGAAGCAATGAATGGGAGCAGATTAGAAGTAACAGATTTCTGAGGCCTTCCAGCGGCATTCTGGAATTAGCATACCCTGTCAGCTCCAGTCAGCCAGCAAGAGCCCAGTGAGCACATCCTTCCCATCGCCCTGCACAGAGACGTGAAGCTGGGCAGCTGAAACTGGTCATGACTGGTAAACATTGGTGATATTTACACCACAGAAATGGGCAAATGCTTCAAATCAGGGCTCCCCACCGCCCCCCCACCCCAGCCCCTATAAGCCAGTTGTAAAGCAGTTGTCAGCATATCACTCACCTCCTAGCTTTGAGAGTGAATTGTCCTCTTATCAGAGATCCTGTCTGGAGAGATCAGAGAATCTTGCCGTCACACTGAGACCATGTCCACCTTTTAGTAATCAAGCTCTCCCTTACCTGTACAGGGGTTACAGTCTGAGTAGAATGGGAGGGGAATTTGGAAGAGAGGAAAATTTACGCTTGGAAACCCTTTAAATTACCCACACCGTGGTGGGAATCTTTTCTCAGCGAAGCCCAGTGCAGTGAGCCACCTTCCAGTAATGAAGCAAATCACCATGTGGGGGTTTATTTTGATTTTGTCTTTTATTTCTGGTCTCATTTTTGGCCAGTATCAGATGAACCAAAATGTGTTTCCGATTATACATGCCTTTATAGACTGGAATAAGAGAACTAGGAGATGTAGTCAGGCCACCTAAACCTCGTCCTTACAGACAGTCAGGGCCTTGCCAATATGGCAGAAAGCAGGCAACAGGGAAGAGCAGACCGAGAAACCAGGCAGAAGTAACAGATCCCACACCTGCCACACCAGACATCCAAGGAGGGAAGCAGCACTCGGGCAATTAAACATGGGTAGGAAGCCAATGCTGGATTTTAACTTGGCCTCCAGGATTTCCTCCTCACTGAGTTAACAGGCCCAGAATTTCTGGTAGAACCGTGAATAGTGTGTCTCTACTTTAAGAGCAACCACAATTTTGTTAAGAATTAAAACCAGCTCTTTCCTTCTGTTTGACTTTTTTTTTCTACATTTCCCACATATTATTTTTCCCGTGCTGTTTTGCTTTTCTCCGAAAGCTACAAAATACGCACTGGCTCCGACTCCATTTCTGATTATGTATGGAAAGAGCAAGGGGAAGGTGACCGGGTTCTGTTCCAGGCTGGTTACTCCAGGAGTGTCAGGGGCCACTGGCGTGGTTTACCATCTTGCATCTTCCATGTGTTTTGCCTCAAGTCCTGATGTGCTGTGGACGTGTCTCTCCAGTCACCTGGTCCCTTCTCTTGCTGTGACCTTGTATGTATCATCGAGGAAAGACTTCAGGAAACACTTGCCACGGGGCCATGGGATCAGGGGGCTCTGCATGGGGAAGAGAGCCGGCCATCTGTGCCATTTCACATCTGTACAATGTGTAACAGTACAGGAACCCCATAACATTTATGTAGTGTGAGCCCCTAGTTTTTATGTCCAGTGAGTTCCTGCTGTGCCCAAGGCACCTCTGTGGACATTCAGGAACTGTGGACACACCAACCAGACAGCACAGCCTCAGACCGGTAAGATGGATTCTCAGTCCCAATCAGGTTACAGACCCACAATGTGTTTCCAGTTAGAATGAGAAAGAACCATATTGAAAGCGCCCAACAGCTGACTGTAAGCATCTCCCACCACCGCCCACCTTCAACATTAGGACAAAAAGGTTTCCAGAAACCAGAAGGAGGCCTAAATCTGTACCATGATCGCTAGATGTTGGTATTAGCTTCTTTGGTATTATTCCTTAACTTGGGCCCAAAGTTATTACCCAAACCAGCCGGAACATGTCTCAGCAATGAGATGTGTGACAAGCAAGGCTTGGGGCTCAGCATTTTAGAAAACAGGCTGAGTATTGCCGCCCTTTGCCTGGTATTCTCCCATCTCCTTCTAACTGCTTCCTCCCTTCTAAGAGCCCCTGAAAAGTCTAGAAAAGTCTAAGCAAGTCCAGAAATATCCAGGTTATAACAACTCTTACACTGCAACTGGGTCACCCAGCCCCTGGCGTTGTGATCCCCCTCCCAGTGGCTGGGGGGTGAGAGGGCATGCCAGTACTGCCACCCTGCCCATGCCCCGAACTCCATGGAAGTAAATACTCTGCTAATGGCTGACACATCTCAAGGACAGCTCTGCTTCTGGCTGGGATCATTGCTAGGGCAGCAATAAGTGTCCAGCCGCACAAAGCCCTGCTAAGTGAATTATGGTCATTAATTCGTAGTGAAGCTTCTTGTGATGGGAAAGTTTGAACCGGAAACTAGTGGGCTGTAGATTATCATAGCTTCTCTAGATTGGATGGGCAAGTACATAGCTCGGGAGAAAGAATGCTGATAGAGCTGGCAGGAAGCAGTCTTGCTGCTTTCCATGGTACAGTCATGCTAAACCTTTCGTTCGCCAGCCAGACGAAAAGGCAAAGGCATGCAACACATCGTGTTTGTTTCAGTAGCCAGTCGTGCCTGCCTTGTCTACACAACATCGTTTCCCACTGTCCTCCTGCGATTGCTCTTTCTTACAAGCTCAGTGTGTCTGACTGATGTTAAATGCTGAGGTTCAAAATCCAAACTTCAGTGATCTGCGCTGTTGTGAACAGGGAGCCACTGGGTGGGAAACATGTGCTTCTGTCGCTAGAATGTAAATGTGCCTTGGTGTATTAAAATATCTTCTGTATACAGTAAGCCACTGGTGCTTCTCAGCTGTGTCACTGTTTTTCCTGGAGGTAGGGAAAGGAGGTAGGTGCCCAAAGTTACTTGTTCCTACTTCCATTTCCCACTGTGAGCACCGTCCTTGGCCAGGGACATGCTGGTATTAGAGATGATGTCTTAGAACGGTGGAATGCAGCATAATTTAACTGATCCACCAATATAGAAACTAAAAGCCTGACCCCTTGAGCATTCACACATCAGGGAGCACAGCCAGAGTTCCAGATTTTGCCCTCTGCTCTGATCTTGTCCATGACAGCCCATGCCCCTCTTTTACAGCACTGTGCCTTGCTACCCTTCAGCATCTTCATCCTGTCCCATTCCATATACCAGGACAGCAGGTAGATGTTCCAAATCTGGTACAGGAGCATCACAGGCAGCTCTGGATCCTTGTAGCTGGAAACAACTTCCCCTTAGGCCCACAGAAGCTAAGTGGCCAGTAGGCCAGCTGGTTCCCTGGGCTTGTCCTGAAATCAGTAGGCTCTTTTAAGTCATGTGGGCTCTGAAGTCCTAAATGCTGAGTGACCTGTTGTCCAGGCCATGTCAGGTGCCCTGTTTTATTCCCAGTAGCCAACTGTGTACATGGCAAGATCCAGAACTCTTGATTCTGAAGAGTGCCGGCCTTAAGTATGTGATCTCATTTTAGTCAATTGCTTTGGCCCTTCCATCCCCCATGTCCTACTCATGGTTGGTGTCCCTTTTGTGATGGTTTGATGGTAGCAGAGCTGATTCCAGGAGGTTCTTTGAAACCTTTTTCTCTCTTTTTCAAAGAGAGACCTTTATATGCCTGTTCAGTGCTCTCATCCCCCACCTGGTCAGGTGTGACTCCGCCCCAAATAGTTCTACCCCACAGATGTGTGAAAGTCACTGTGTCTGTGTGTCTGTTTCACAACTTTTTTTTTTTTTAACATGGTTTCATCTCTTTGTAAACCCTGCAACCTGAGTTCACTTTAGTTAAGCTCTGCCCATGCCCTTGAACCCACTCTAATCCTAAGCAGAGCTCAGCTGCTGCCTTGGTCCCGAGCTGGGACAGATATTTCCCCAATCCTGAGTTCAAGCTGCAAACTGAGACTGTGGGTCAAACCTTGAACCTCAAACTGAAATAATTATGTGCTGAGAGTAGCTTTTGATGTTTTCTAAGCTTCGGGGTTAAAAGCTATCATCATTCCAGGCTCCTGTACTGACAGCACTGTTCTACAGAAGAAGGGTTCGTGACACATACAAGCAATGAATAAGAAAACAGCATTCTCTGGTCCCCGTCTCTACCTGCTCCAACCTACACACAGGCTCTTCACTCAGCAGAACACTCAGGCCCTGCAGGCTTGAGAAAGGTACCATGGCCGTCTGCTGGTTTTGCCACCCGGTATCCAAATCTGGTATCATAAATTGGTTGTTTTGGGGGTGATCCCGAGTCCTCAGGCTTCACGTGGCTCTGGGGCTAGGCACATGACCAGTTGGGGCTCATGAGTCTCAGTGTCCTGGCCAGGGTGCCTAGCCCTGCAGTGAACACAGGTCCCAGGCCAGGCCAACCAGAATGGGTCTCTTTGGTTGTAAGTAGTAAGGGAGCCTATCTCCTTCCCCTGAGTTGCTAGGCAGGCAAAATGAAAACCTGGGGACACCGATGGCCAGTTCTGTTCCCATAGCCAAAGGTTTTCCAAAGAAGCACTTACTGAAAGCAAGCGGGGCTAAGAGAGTAAAAGAAACCATGTTCTAGACCCAGCTATGTTTCAGTCAAACTAATTGTATCCCTGAAGTTCTCATTAC